GAATTTTAGATATTATTCAAGTAATGCTAAATAACTACTGGTATCCTATGTTAATTGTGCTGTAAATGGTTTGACATTTGGCTCTATTTACCAAAATGCATTGCTATCCTAGAAAGGAAGCACTGGGTTAGGTGGTGAGAGTGCCTAGGCAACTGAGAGGGCTTCACGGGAGTCTCCTGACAAATGTCAACTGTCCTTTCTTCTTCTTCTTTTAATCAGGGTCTCACTGTGTAGACTGGACTGGCCTTAAACTCATAATCTCCCTGTTTCAGCCTCCCAAATGCTGGGATTACAGGACTGTGGCACCATGCTGACTCCTATTTCTTTTGTTGTTGGAGTTTTCAATTATCATCTGGCCAGTGCAACTTAGTAAAGAAACCTTTTAAAATTTGAGTTTGTAAAAACAGATTAAAACAAAGTATTTTTTTTAATGTTTAAAAAGGAGAACTAATGTTAGGGCAGTATCAGTTACCACCAAGGCACATTTCAGTGTGTGGATCTGCTAGTGATGGTTTTTTATTAATCAAATTCTAAATGAAATAAACAGCATTATAGAACTTGGACTAATAAATTAAGCCTCAGTTTAACCTACTAAAATGTATTTATGAAAGTTTGTTGTGATTATTGTGCTTCATATGTAATATCTTTTAAACAATCGCCTACATGAAACTAAAGCTTGAAAATGATTACACTATGTCTTGACAACATATCCTGATTGCTTCTTTGTCAATTACTCTATCTATTGTGGCATTTACAACTAAGGAAGTTCTCCATAGTTAGGAATATACAGGATGTTGCTGCCTACAGGATGTTGAACAAAGTTTGCTGAAACATTTGAAGCCATTTTAGGAAATCCAGTGATAACAAACGGGACAAAATAGATTATGGTTTGAGCCCAAGGAGAAATCCCTTTTAAAAAGGGAGGAGGGATAGGATGAAGGGAGAGAAAGAGGGCCAGGGACAGAGACAGAGACACACTAATTACTCTGGTCTGGTGCATTCCCAGAAGGAATTGCTGACTCTCTTTTGGAGCCCGGTGTTTGCCTAGAGTCCTGTGACACACAGTGGGAATTCACTTCCTATCAGGAAATGCTGATTTTCAATGTATTATCTTGTTGAGACAACCACAGCAAACAATAGGCTATTAACATTTTAGAACAACAAGTGTCATAACTAAGCCAATATTTGCTTTGTTTTGAGTATTATTCTAAAAAAAAAACTTTGGCTGGACTTCAGAATACATTGCACCCTCAGTAACTGCTCAACATAAAAGTCCTGACAAAAAGAACAAAGAGAGAAAAAAGTGTTTCAATAACGGGAAGACTTTTGCAGGCTCACTGTACTCACTTCCTGTGCATAGTGACAAGAATAAATTGCTTCAATACCTTTTGGGCATCAAAAATGTTTATTTAAAAGCCCATTTTGAATTTTGACAAACACATGAAACTGGTATAAAGGAGGGAAAAGTCTCAAGTTCAAGTTCTCTTCTGAAATAACAAACCCTCTTATGAGCTGCCATACTCAGTTTGGGATATTTACATTAAAAATATATTTGCGGGGCTGGAGAGATGGCTCAGCCATTAAGAGCACTGACTATTCTTACAGAGGACCCAGGTTTGGTTCCTAGCCACCTACATGGTAACAAACAACTATATGTAACTCCAGTTCTAGGGGGATCTGATACTCTTTTCTGACCTCTACAAGCATTGCATGACACAGGTACACTTACATACATGCAGGCAATACACTCATACACATAAAATAAAGATAATTTAAAAAATGTATTTGGCAATGCTACTTAACTTGGGGCTTGGCTTGTTTACAAGGTCTATTTTCATAGAAGAGACACTTATTCAAATTGGTGGTCAGCTAATATCAATTCACTGTAGCTATGCAATAAAAAATACAGTAAGAACTCAGAGCTTGAAAGGAACGTAGAGGTCATCCCTAGAACCCGTGTAAATGTGAAAGGAGAGAAGTGACTCCACAGAGTGGAGTGACCAATCACACATGTACACACAGAATAATACCTAAATTTTAAACTAGAAAGTTCTTAGAGAAGGAACTAGGCCTCTGCCTTATATATTGTTATATCCTTTCTCTAATATCCAAATTAATATTTACTGTGTGTATGTGCATGCATATGTGTGGTATATACATGTATCCATGTTTGTGTGTGTATGCATGTGGAGGTGAGAGATCAATATCAGGTGTCATCCTCTATCACTCTCCATCTTATTTTTTGAGACAAGGTCTCTTAACCTGGAGATGATTGGGCTAGAATAGCTGATCAGTGAGCTCCACAGATCTGCCTGTCCCACATGCTTTCCCACCAGAGTGCTACAGTTACAGATGTGTGCCTGACTTTCATATGGGTACTGAGGGCCTGAACTCCAGTCTCATACTTGCAACAGAAAGCACTTGACCCATTGAGCCATCTCCCTAGCCCCTATTTTTTTTTCAAGGTAATATTTTTTGTAGTATTTGTATCTGGTCACAGAACATGGTAGTAAATATAGGTTTTTTAAAACCGTTCTATTTAAACCCTCACACTTTATAAAGAAATGACTTTTAGTCTAAATACATTTCAAATGCATGTCACAGTATTCATTATCTGGTCAGTTTGATCAACCCATGGAGAGCTGAAGTTTTCTCTAGATAGTCTGTCCTAGTTTATTCTCAGGTAAGTAAAGAATGCAGTGTTACAAGTCAGTGGTCCTACTAAGTAACTGCATAGTAAAGAAAATAAAAAGTTGTTACCCAGTTTCTGCACAGACTATGACAAAATACTTTGAATGCTCTGGGGAGGAGTGGGAAAGGGCTCATTTTGATGGAGGAGGTTGAAGAAGTAAGTCATGGGATGATTTGGCTTTGAATAAGACCTTGTTCTAATGTGCTTTCACTTGCTGTGATAAAAACACTAAAACCAACTTAGGGATAAAAGGGTTAATTTGGTTTACAGTATAGTCCATCATCAAGGGAAGCCAAGGCAGGAACTCAGGACAGGAACCTGGAGCACAGACCATGGAGGTACACTGCTTACTATCTTGCTCCTCTGGCCCAAGCTCAGCCTGCTTTCTTATACAGTAGGGGTCTACCTGCCCAGGGTGGCACAGCCCACAGTGGGATGGGCCCTCCCACATTGCTCAACAATCAAAATGCCCCACAGACATGGCCACAGGCCAATCCAATAGAGACAATTCCTCAGTTGAGGCTCCCTCTACCCAAGTGTGTCAATTGACAACTAAAGCTATCCAGCACAGACCTTAGGTGTGTGCCATGTGGGCTGACACTTAGATGTATAGAGATAAGAAGGTGAAACAGCCCAGATGTGTCAGAAATATGGCAAACAGCAATGGGAGAGTGGCTGTTTAGAAGAGCCATTTCCCTCTAAACCTAGAAGGGATTGACTTTTGAAGCCTCTTCTACACGTTATTTTAGAGCCGCCATTTTAGAACACCACCCCCACCACAGATTCCTAAGGTTTTGTATGGTGTTTGTTTATGATAGTTTCTTGTAGCACAGGCTGATCTGGAACTCACTATGTCCAAGAATGACCTTGAACTTCTGATTCACCTGAGTGCTGGGCATGCACACCACCATACCTTATTCAGTCAGAGCTGGGGATTGAACCTGGTGTTTATGGCTGGGGAATGCATACTAGGCAAATACTCTACCAACTGACCTACACGCCCCACCCAAGATTTTTAAAAATACGTTATCATTTCTATTTTATGTGTGTGAGTGCATTGACTGCATGTAAGTGCTCCCTTGTCATGCAGTACCTGCGGAAATTAGAAGAGGGTGTCATGTCAGCTGCCATGTGGGTGCTGGGAACTGAACCCGGGTGCTCTGCAAAAGCAGCCAGTGCTCTTAACCACTGAGCCATCTTTCCAGCCCAGACCCCCTAAGTATTTTTATAGATGGAACTCCAAAACGCTTTTCCACCCTTGAGGGAGAGGCTAGGGAAATGGTATTCTGGAAAAATTGTAATAGCTAGCTTTGTGCTTCTCAGTTGCAGACAAAGACCCCAAGGGTTGTAGTGCTCATACTACCTTTTAGATGTTAAATAACACTTTGCAGCCCTTTACAAGGGTATAAGACCATTGTTTGACAATAAAAATCTAAAATGAGCACAAAATATTTGTCAAATGCTGGAGAGCTACATAAGTTACTACGCCATGTAGATAGCTTTTTATTTGACAATAAAGTACTGGATGTAGGCTTTAAATCCAGCTAAATAGGTACTGTAGAACTAAGCTGTGAGCCTAGTCTTTGTGAGCCCTAGAAAAACAAGAATCCTACTTCAAGCCTGAATTTAAAATACAGCAAACATTTAAGTGAACCATTCCAGCGTATGAGTGGCACACAAAAAAAAAAGAGGCTTAAAGTTTACTATCTAGTAAATTATCATGAAAGCAGTAGTATAGTATTAAAAATACTATAAATTGCTTTAAATTCTTTTTTTAATTTTATTTATTATTTTTATTTTATGTGTATGAGTGTGTTGCCTGCATGTATGTGAGCGCACCCGTGTCATGCAATGTCTCGGAGGTGAGAAGAGGGCTTCAGATTCCCCTGGAACTGGAGTTAAGGACAGTTTGTAGCTGCCATGTGGGTTCTGGGAATCAAATCTGGGTCTTCTGCAAGAGCAGTCAGTGCTCTTAACCACTGAGCCATCTCTCCAGCCCCAAATTGCTTTAAATTCTTATAAAAATAAGTTTTTTTCCAAAACTGTTTCATCAGTGTTTAACCCTGAATGCATACTTTAAAAATCAAGAAATTGAAACTTAAACTATTAAGTGACTCTTTTTTTCAAAGTAGCTTCTAAAATTTTAAACTTTTAAAGGATTTTTAAAAAATGTTATTTATGCCAGGTGTGGCAGTGCATGCCTTTAGTCCCAACACTCGGGAGGCAGAGGCAGGAGGATCTCTGAGTTCAAGACCAGCCTGGTCTACATAGTGAGTTCCAGGAATAAAATAAAAATGAAAATAAAATATTGCTGTGATGATCTCCACTGGGTTTTGCAGGTTACTGAGTTTTAGTGATGCCTTTCTCTTGGCTGTCTGAGCAAAATATAATAATAATAGTAATAAATATATAATTCATATTTTAGAGCTTTGTGGTAGTGACACATGTGATCTAGTCTATACATTCAGTGTATCTCGATCATGTGGAAATTTTTAAGATAAATTGAGGGATATAGACAAGTTATATTTTCTGTCTTAGAACTTGTGTCTTCATGGGGCTAGAGAGATGGCTCAGCGGTTAAGAACACTGGTTGTTCTTGCAGAAGACCCGTGTTCAAATCCCAGCACCCACATGGCAGCTAACAACTGTCCATAACTCCAGTTCCAGGGAATCTGACAGCCTCTTCTGTCCTCCATGGGCATTGCATGACACGGGTGCACTTACCTACATGCAGGCAATACATACATACACATAAAATAAAAATAAATAAAATTTTTTTTAAAAAAAGAACTTGTGTCTTCATATGGAGAAATGATAGGGTAGAACAAATTAAAATACTTTATATCCCTTTAAGCTTTAGCACCTTTAAATTCTAAGGATGCTATTTTTCTTTTTGTTCTAATTACATAATATTAGGAAAGACAGTATTTCTTGGAGAAATTACTTGTATTCAAAAAGTAAGGCAAGCCAGGTGTGGTGGTGCACCCTTTAATCCAGCACTTGGGAGGTAGAGGCAGGTGGATCTCTGTGAATTCAAGGCCAGCCTGGTCTACATAGTGAGTTCCAGACCAGCTGGGGCTACTAGGAGACCCTGTCTCAAAAAGGAAAAAAAAAAAAGTAATGTTTGTTTCTCATCGTCTTTACCAAATTCTTAATTCTTCTAAAACCAGGTTTTCTGTTGTTTTTTTTAAATAAACTTTCATAAATTAAATGATAGTGGTTTAGTGGTTTTTCTCTTTCCTTGAGTTTAAAAAAATTTATTTGTTTATCTTTATCTTTTATATGTATGCATTTTCTGTCTGCATGCAAGTGACCTTGTGTTGTACAGTACCCATAGAGGCCAGAAGAGGGCATCAGATGCCCTGGAACTGGAGTTACAGGCAGTTAGCTAACATGTGAGTACTGGGAACTGAATCCAGGTCTCTGCAAGAGCAGCCAGTGTTCTTAACCACTGAGCCATCTCTTCAGCCCCTCCTTTGAGTTTTATATTGAACTTTTAAAACCGTCTTTTGGATTTTCTTTTATTACAAATTGAGTTTCCAAACAGATGGTCATTTGAGTTATTGTTTCTATCTTCTCACTGTCTCCTATTTCTTCATGTCAGGAAAGAATCTGAACCTCTCTAGGTGAATTTTCTGGGTGTCATAAGCACCAAAATATATACCTGATTAAACTCCTGACTCTTATCAACTACTCTCTACTTCTAAGCTAAATCCTACTTTCTGAATCAGAGCAGAACCTAGATCTCTTTAAATGAATCAGTTAATAGAGCAGTTATATGTCCAACATAGTTCTGGATAAAATAATGGGACATTTATAGTCTAAATATCAGGATCCAGAGAAGCCCTTCCCTTTGCAAAGTTCCCAATTATAATTGTAATTTAAATTCCCTTTTGTGGATAATTGAATTGGTGATTGCCAGGGGATTTTGTTGTTGTTACTGATATGATGAAGATTCCTGAGTCAACCCTAAATTGTTACTAGTGTTCAGGTGAACCTCATTTTGAGGAAAGTCCTTGCATGAAAATGCATATTTTACAAAAAAAGAGTTCATGTTACCAAGATGAGAACCTGGATTTGAGCCTGGGATAGGAAGTTGGAAAGATTATCAAGAGATCTTTAACAAGTTTTAAGTTTAAAATGATCCAAAATTTGGAAACATCAGTGGAGGTGAAGAGATTAGAGATGTGTTATAGGTACTAATAATGAATTTAGATTCTGGAACCAAGCACAAGAGTGTGACCTTGGGTAAGTAATTTCCCTGCTTGTTTCCTCATCAGTAAGTGAGATAGCAGTACCCACCTCTCAGAGTGATTATAAGGGTTAGGTAAATTAAAACATGCTACATCCTTAAAGCACTGCTAAACAGTAGTAGGAGCTCAAGAAATGTTAGATATTTTGTTATCATTTTCCCTTATACCACATTTTTATTCCAATGTGACTTAATGAAAACACACTGTCTTAGTTTTCTATTGCTGTGTTAAAAATGGTGACTAAAGCCAACATGGGGAGGAAAAAATTTATTTGGCTTAGTTCATAGTCCGTCATCTAAGGAAGCCAAAGCAAGAGCTCAGTGGGCAGGACCCTAGAGGCAGGAGCTGAAGCACAGACCATGGAGGAATGCTGCTTACTGGCTTGCTCCCCAGGTCTGTGCCCAGCCTGCTTTTTTATGCAACACAAAACAACCTGCCCAGGGGTGGCACCACCCACATCACTCAACAATCAAGAAAATGCCCCACAGATATGGCTACAAGCCAATCCAATGGTGAAAGCTCCTCAGTTGAAGTTCCCTCTAACCAGGTGTGTCAAGTTGACAACTAAAGCTATCCAGCGTGCACACACGACAGAGAGAGAGAGAGAGAGAGAGAGAGGAGAGAGAAAGAGAGGGAGAAACAGGAGTGGCTAAAAAAAAAAAAGATTTAGAATCCAGGTAAATAAACCCTTCAAAAGAGGGCAGCCTCTCAGTTAAAGCAAAGAGCCCAACTGTGTGAACATCAGTAAAAGGGATGTTAAGCCCAGACATGTAAGCAGAGCACAGGGATGGTATTGTGAGCAAAGGGTATTAATTACGGAAATCCACATAGAGAAGCAATACCAGGGAAAATTCTACATGGCATCAAAGATTCACTACCATTAGCCAAGGCATGAGCTATCAGATGACCTCAGGAAAAAAATGGCGGCTGATGGAAAAGTCCAAGATTCATCTCAAATCTTCATAGAGTTTCATAAAGAAATGCCTGTTCATGATTTAAGGTGTAAATATACTCATATTTTCTTCAGATTTCTTTGGAAAGGAAAAAGAGCTTGGAAATAGGATTCACATAGAACATCATTGCCGGAGTATTTGAAGTTACCCAACTGAAAAATAAGAAATTTAGGCCACCCAAGAGAAGGAAGGGGGCTCAGAGGTTAGTAACTCAGCGGCACTTTTGTCTGTTTCCCAATAAAGTAAAAGTCAGGCATCAGCATGGGATCCAACAGCGACTGACTTGATGTCGAGCAGCACTAGACCAGTTTCTTAACAGTTTCTCAAACTATGAAGAGACCAGAGACAAGCATGATGCTAAATGCCAGACATGTAGAGAAGAGGGCAGAAGATATGCAACATGTGTGTATACGTGACAAGTATTTAATCTGGAAAAGTGGTATTTGAACTCTATCCTTGCTTAAATGAAAAGACAGTCCATAAAACTGATATTTTATGATGTGATACTTGCTTTAACTTAGCTATGGTAGAAGCAGTAAAACCTGTTACAACTTGTATTTGTAATTGCAATTCATTTTGAGTCTTCATAGTTTTATAAAGAAATTTTTGTTCAGAATGTAATATATATTTTCTTGCTTTAGATTTCCTTGGAAATTTTATATTTTGTTTTGTTTTGTTTTGTTTTGAAACAAGGCCTTCCTGCAGCCCCAGCTGGCCTAGAACTCACTATGTAGAGCAGGCTGGCCACCATCTCAGAGAGGTCAGCCTGCCTCTACGTCCTGAGTGGTGGGATCAAAGGTGTGCACTATCCCACCTAGTTTCCTTGGAAACTTTTATTCTCGGTCTAACATCATAGTTAGGAAAAGTTACACCATCATGGGAAGTATGTATGTTACTTTGCCCTTATGTATATCAACTGTTTTGTTCCAGTTAGTATTTTGATGATTTTTGTTATTTTTAAAATATTTTTACCTTGATTCTGCAAATATATGTTCTCCACATTGTTGTGATGGTAAAATGTTTCCTAAAATATAGACTTGAATGGAAATTCCACTGGAGTAGTATGGTTTCCTATGGCTACCATAAATAAAGCTCAAAACTAGATAGCTGAAAACAACAGAACTTTATTCTCTTACAGTTCTGGAAGCTAGAAGTGCAAGGTGCTTGCAGATTGGTTCCCTCTAGAGGTACCTGGAAAATCTAGGCCATACCTCCCTCCTGGCTTCCAGAGGTTGCTAGCAGTGCATGGTGTTCCTAGGCTTGCAGCTGTGCCAATTCCATCTCAGCCTCTATGATCACTTGCCCTTTTTCTGCATGTGTCTCCTCTGTGTTCAAATCTTTCACCTTCCTCTTATTAGAAAGTAGTTATTGGATTTAGGGCTCACCCTAATCCAGCGTGACCTCATTTTCATTTGATCTGCAAATACAATGTTTTCAAATACTCTGAGGTTCTCAGTGCATGAAGCGGAGCAGGTACGGGGGATGGGAGGCACTAGTTAACCCAGCTCAGGGTAGGTGTTCCCAGTAAAACCATCATAAATTGAAAATGCATTGAACGTGCCTAACCTACCAAACATTATAGCAGAGTAACTTGTATATTGTAGAGTACTGGCTGTGTTCATGGTTGCATGGGTGATAGGGAGCTGTGGATCACTGCCCTGCCCAGTATCAAAAGAAGATATCTCTTACAGTAACCACAACACTGATATTATCTCTTTACTATAAAGAATATCTTGTTTGCCTGGGGGGGGGGTGGCACATGCCTGTAGTCCCAGCACTTGGGAGGCAGAGGCAGGTGGATCTCTGTGAATTCGAGGCTAGCCTGGTCTACATAGTGAGTTCTAGGACAACTTGGGCTACAGGGAGACCCTGTCTCCAAAAAATAAAAAAAAAAAAGAATATCTTGTTTTGTTTTTCTACTATTAAGTTTCTTGGTTAAAGACTTTATTTCTATTAACCTGAGGAAAAAAAAAAAAAAGACTATCCCACAGCATAATGGTAGGCCTGTACAAAATATCAAAATTCAAAGTATTTTGCTCCCACAGTGTCATGAAGTTAAACACATACATATACATACTAAAGCAAAAATTTAGAGAAAAACTTCATTTTAAAGGGCGACTCATTTGAAGAAAAAAGGATTTTTGAAAGAAAAACAACTTTTGTGAAACAAATTTCTG